ACAAGTATATTCACCACTAGGAACAAGTATACTAGCCACTAGGAACAAGTATACTCACCACTAGGAACAAGTATACTAGCCACTAGGAACAAGTATACTTGCCACTAGGAACAAGAATACTCGCCACTAGGAACAAGTATACTAGCCACTAGGAACAAGTATACTTGCCACTAGGAACAAGAATACTCGCCACTAGGAACAAGTATACTCGCCACTAGGAACAAGTATACTCGTCACTAGGAACAAGTATACATGTCAGTAGGTGCGCGTATACGCGTACGTAGCGAGGCTGCGAGTGTTGTCAGCTCAGCGTAGGTCAGGGTTGTCGTTGATCTGCTTCTTGATGCGCACCAGCATGCTGGTGTACCACTGGTCGAGGCGCGATATGCTGTCATACGTCTTCACAGCCTCGGTGAACGCGTCCACGTTCTGATCCTCCAAGTGCTCGATAAGCTCCTGAAATATGTGTTACCATCATTTTCTACTAACTAATAGTTTGCACAAATTATTGTTATCTACTTTTCTTTAAAAAAAATGAAAGGGATATCCTGTTCAGTAGAAAAACATTCACATTTTAAGTGTTTCCGTGATTTAAAAGAGAAATGATTTGATCCTTCGAGTCGGATATGAATATTACCTTGACGAGCTTGCACTCGCGCGTGTCAGCGAATGCTGGATAGAGCGAGCAGTACTTGTCGAGCGCGTGCTGCGCGTTCAGCAGGTCCACGCAGAGGTGGCACAGCGCCGCGCGGAACATGTACTCCTTGGCGCTGTACTTCAGCAGGCTGTTGTCCAGCGATGACTTCGCTATCTGATTAGTGGAAATCACGCTTAAATTACTGTAGTGTTTTTAAAATACAGTGAAAATGCAATATTGGGTGTAACCAAAGGTTCTGATGGCTAGGAATACACGAGATGCTTCCAACAACACGGTTTAGGTGCACAAGTACCAAAAGCAAGGCAGGCGCTATAGACTCTTATATAGATATCTTATATTATTAGCTGTAAAACTCATTAACCTGTTCGTATATCTGTATAGCCTTGTCGTAATGCTCGAGCTGGGCGGCGTACTGAGCCAGCTTGAGCATGCACTTGTTGGCGGAGGAGGTGGACTCCTCGCCGCGGAAGTAGTCAGCAGCCTGCTCGTAGTGCTGCATCGCTCGGGACACGTCCACGACCTCTGTCTCGTACAACTCCGCTATGTTCTAAAATATAAACACTTTGTTAACGACGATAAAAGTCGCCTAGTCACTTATACAATACTTAAGATGTTCTTACGCTGGGACACGTTGCTGACATTATATTCTTTCGTCGCCAGTCAGTCGCTACGTATTTGTCGGCATCAATATTTAAAAAAAAGCTGCTTTACTTTTTAAGATGGCAGAGCAAATCTATACAGTTGAAATGTTGAATGACTCGCATCGACGATTCCAAGTTGTATCTAGAGATCGCGACTCGAATACATATTAGTTTCGAATCTTTACGACTCTATATTTACAAAGAGGCATAGGGAATGATAAATAAGTTTCATTTATACGAATAACACCAGCGCCTCTATTCTATAATTTACCTGATGATGCTTAGCCGCGACAGTGAACCGTCCCATGTCGGTATAAATCTCAATCGCCTTCAGCAAACAGGACACTGCCTCTGTAAAATACGTCAAATTATTTTGTAACATAACTCTCTAAAAGGATTTTTTTTTAACTTTATAATTGTTTATACTCTTTGCCGTATAAAAGCTCACAATAAACGCGAGGTTTTACCGCATTGCGTATGCATCAATGGCGATCGTATATTTTGTTAAATTAAATCAATGAAAATTCCAATTCATTATGTTTAAGGTCACGAGAGATGTTAATTATTGCAAGCAACAAAAAATAAAGTCCGAAAACGAAAGGTTAATACTAATTTCCACGTAGCGATTGGAAGTGTTCACTTTCATAGAGGTACGTTTTATATTTCCACTAACGCGAATTCAACACACAAAAATTACGCAGTTAGTCGTTTAGTGAAAAAAGGCACTTATACCTCTGGCATTTTGCTAAATGAATGATACTTTTTAAAAATTTCCGGTAAATTGTAATCAATATAAAAGATCAAAATAATGACCTTGAATAAATCTATCAAGCAGTTTGAACGTTGACTTTATGATGTAATACACATAATCACGAAACAAAACAAGCGCTTACACATAGATAAGATAAAAGATAAAATATTGAATCTTAAAGAAATCGATAAATATTGTGTTAAGCAGATGTCCACACAGAAAACATATGTAACACCCCACTATAGTGTAGTTTCTGTAAAAATTACTCTATAATACAATTTTTCAAATCGGGTATTTTCGGAGCCAATTCAGTGGGAACAACCAAAGAAGTCTGTCCTCTTTATAATTTTTTATAGATAAACAACCAATTTTCCCTCCTAACATTTGATAGTGATATAAATTAATATATAAATGAAGAAATTTATAAATTGTAACTAAACATAGTGTAGTTATTAATAATTTAACTAAATATATGTCATAATAAACCTTCAAATAAAATAATCTAATAGGCTACTACTTAAATTTTTTTGATATCACAAGGTGGCAAATCGCTGAAATAGCGAAGTGACCGTTGCCCATAGACATACGAAATTGCATATACATTGCCTACCTTTAATTGACGGAGGAGAGGATGCACAGAAAGGAAATATCTTCCCTTTCCATGCATCCTCTCATCCGGAAAGTCCACTTCCACTTCCCATCCTTTCCTTATAAGAAAAAGGGTGGGAAGGTAAATTTCTTTGGGAATTCTGTGTTGACGGAGGCATGGGCAAAAGCTATTTTATTCAAACAGTCAAAGTTAAATATAAATAGAATTAATTTTCCAATAAACTGTAATTTGAAAGGGCATTACATAAAGAATGTCATTTTGGCTTAAAGCCAGATTAAAACGACTCACTATTTGAGTTCAATGAACTTTATAGACATAAGGCATTGTTGGATATAGCCAGATCACATGACCCATATTTGTCTCATCCTTATGGCACATACTTAAATCCATTCTCATTCTATTTATCAACCTATTTGAGATATTTAATATGTTTTTTTTTTCCATGACACAAAACTACCCATATAGTTATTTTCACATATCATTTACAAACTGTAAAAAAATTTTAACTTTTAAGACTTAAAAACTCAATAAGATAAGTCTTGTTTAAAATTTTAATACTTTGTAATATACTGGCTGTTGACTACAATATTATTGGTGTGAAATAAAAAAAACTGAGTTAGTATTCTATGCACTAACCCAAATAATTTCTTCCAGTTCTGTTTAGTCATACTGGACTTATGTATGTGATAACAACCACCATCATCCATCCACACTTTCACATTTATAATATTAGTAAGATTGTACATTAATCCTAAGACAAAGTATGTAAAAAGAGGATAATTAAACATACCATTAGGATCACACTTCTTATAGCAGTTGGAGGCATCAACAAAGTTTGTAGCCGCATCATGACGCACCCCAGCCTTGAGATGCAGCTGTGCCGCATTGCAGAAGGCCTGTCCAGCTTGCGACCACTTCTTAGCCATCTTGAATAGGTTGGCAGCTCGAAGATAACAATCAACTGCCTCTTCCACTTTTGATGATCCTCTGAATAAAGAAAGCAATCAAGTTTGAGACCACAATAAAAGTGAATTAGTCACCAAAAGCTTAAAAGATAAGGGTGTGGATATTCAATCATTTGGTTATAGGATCAAATCCTACCATTCAAATATTTTTACAAACCAGCACAGGCCTTAATTCCAGTTTTGTTGATGCCACCACTAGAAATGTTAGTAAATTACTAAAACATACTAATTTATAAGAAATGTACTATCCCCCTTTGTAAAATAGTTCAGTATTAACTGAATAGTTGGATTCTTGAGAACTGAAAGCATGGAGATGTCTTTAGACTACGTTAAATTGCATAATATGCGCACACAAAGAAAATTTAGACTCTTTTAGTAAGTAACTATAATATGTATTGTAGTTTATAGAGTAAAGTATGAAATCTAACAGTGGTAGAGCCCGCTTTAACATCTTCGCACGAATTGGCCTGGCTCGCCCGGTGAAATACCACGACCACATAGAAGACAGGCGTGAAGTGGAAGCAATTCCGCGTTTCGTCTGATGAGTGTGCGTCCCGGAGGCCTAATTTAGTCCTCTTTCCCTTCCCACCCTTTTTCTTATAAGGATAGGATGGGAAGTGGAAGGGGACTTTCCGGGTGAGAGGATGCATGGAAAGGAAAAAATATTTTCTTTCTGTGCATCCTCCTCCGTCGATTAAAGGTAGGCAACGCATATGCAATTGCATATGTCTATGGGCAACGGTCACTTCGCTATATTAGCGATTTCAGGTGGCCGCTCGCTCGTTTGCCATCTTATGACATAAAAAAAAAAAAAATTTAACACTAGTCAGGATAAATACAAAGTAACTAAAGTAATTATATGTCAAGACATATTATTAATAAAGTCTTTTTATTTGTTCTTGTAAGGTTTTAGCTCAAATGAAAAGAGAAAGTTTGTACTGTGGTTCAGTTTCTACAACAGAAGTTAAGATACAATTTCATGTTAGAAATATTAGCAAGAATAAAAGACGTCTAGTATAATTCTATGATATAATACAGTTAGATTAATTAGATGATTGTAAAGGAATGATTCCTTTATGATTCAGATGTCGTAATTTACGCGTCACAGCTAAGATGTGACTAAGAGTAATCTTAAGAGTAATGAAGAATTGTTTTACGCAGTAATTAAAAAAAATATTTAGAATCCATGCAATAGTTAACTAGTCAAAAACAATTAATTAATAACATCTGGGATTCAGTCTTGTGATTTGTTGGATTAATTGTGCAATTATTATAAAGTGTACAAAATACAGTTTCTGCATGTATTATAATGTATTAACACTGAATGTAATTGACATATTAAAAGTGAAATCTAAATAATCAACAAAGATTGGACAATCATTGTTCTTACCCGAAAAGAGACCCGAGGAATGATTTTGAAGAACTTAATTTCTTCTCCGCTTCCGCCATTAGCTGCATGGCTTTTTGTTCATTGTCTGCCATTTTTATGGCTTATTACACTAAACACTTTACAAATTTAAATACGAATTAGGGAAAAATTACAATTTATTGACAAAATGTCGTCACTCCCACAAACTGCACAAAACCGTCGCTGTCATCGATTGATTTGCTCTCGGTGTGACCAGTATAAAAGTACTTTCCAAAGCGTTCGAGTTTTCCACCGACCGAAAAATATACATACACATTTTGGATATATACGTAAAATAAAAATAAACTGAAGTTGCAAAACTTAAACCTTTTCATTTTGGTCATTTTATTTACCTAAAGCTTAAATTAATTACTTTACATTAAAAATGTTTATGTAATTAAAAGGAAAATTACCAACCTTTCAAAGTACATACTTTTCCTGATATGGGTGTGATGTCACAAAAACATAAATGCGCGTAATGTTTTATTCTAAACATCAAATATCTCCAATGTTATGTAATTTTTTTTAATAACTTCACTAAATCAAGAAATGTGTCCACAGTATAGTTGGTATGATATAATAGTATCATCAGTCCTAAGGCAAAAAATGGTAACCCTAGCGACGGGGCCAAGAGACGATTAAGCTGTTTTTATCACTCACTGCAACTATTTTTTTTTGTGAAAATTTTAAATAGACGAATAGGACAATCTCGCTCTTTGGAGTTTAAGGTCAGCACTAGCTGAAACCGTTTTGTTGGTTAACTGCAGGAAAATGGCGGGATTCGAACCCAAAACGCGAGAACGACTACTGCCTTTCACCATGAGGCTACTAGCGTAAATTAATTTTCAACACTATGTGTATATATCGGCGGCTAAGTTTTTGTACGATAAGGGTGGGGAATGAAACACTGATTTAATTTTATTTGTTTATTGTATGTTAAATAGACAATCGCTACTATCACGATACAACAAAACACATAATTATACATCACTTTGAAAAGCGTTTTTTAGAATATTCTTCGACCAAGGACAGATTATACATTAGATATATAGAATAGTTTGCTTCTAACAAAAATATATATTTTCACAAAGTATGACATCATATTATATTATTAAGTTAAATACTATATTTTAACACTACCAAGAGAATTCAAATAAAACCTTTCGTATCGAATTCAGATTGAACTTGTTTTTTTATTCAAAAGGTTAGAGTGTAAATTGTTTCAGGTATTTCAGGCACGACATAATTATTTTCAGTCATCGTCCTAACAATATAATATGACGTCATAAACCACTAATTTCAGCTAAACATTATAACAGCTTTACAATAATCTCTGTAAGATACTACTATAATACTGTAATTGTGTTAAATATATGACTAGGTTTTTTTTATATTACAGGTGACAAACGAGCAAGTGGCCACCTGAATTCCACAAAATGTAGAACGCTGCCCATAGACAATTGCAGATGTGTTGCCAACTTTCAATCGGCGGAGGTTTTATTGTATTCATTATATTTTCTAGGTCACCTATTCACATCTAATTCTAGTAAACATAAAATTTTTAATTGTCGACGACAGTCAAAAATGTGCTTTTTAATATGGAGAGGGACTTTTTTCTTTCGTTCCTCAAGTATCAACCGATGATTTTTTTTAATTTGATGATTGCATTAAATTTTATAATCTAGAAAATAACTAGCAAATGTATTCCAAAGATTTAAATATCTTAGTTCATTTTCGGTAAGACATTTTGAACAAAATAATGATTTAAAATGAAAGAACATTCTTCAAAATAAATGTAATACAAATAATATAGAAAAATTTAATACTTTGCTACTTTATCTAAAATGCCTTAGAAGTTAACCATTTATTTAGATATTTGATAAGTGTTGCTAGTTACAATAAATCTTGTAATAAAAAGTATTTATTTAGTATTGTCAAGGGATAAAGAGGTAAATACTATTTTTAATTATATTAATTGCAGATTATTTCTAATGGTAACATTAAATATTTGAACTAATTTCCTGTGCGACAAACTTGCCTGGACCCATGGAAGTGTAAACAAAAAGGTATATATAAAAAAACAAAAAGTGCATCATAATTCTTTTATTCATTTCATAAATAAACTAAATTGGGTATCTAAAGGCACGAAACAGCTAGCGAAGTAGCATAGCGAGAATATTTACATAAAAAAAACAAAAAAAAACATTAAATTATATCCATAAAATAAAATGTACAACTAAAATTTTCAAATGATGTGTAAAACAATTCAAAAACATGAACATTGTTTCGTGTATTACATTAAAAATAAAAATCAAAACTTAAAAAAAATAAAGAAACAGGCAAGCCCGTACTTCCAAACATATCAGTCGAATCAATTACACATCACATTTTTAACAATATATGTACGGCCAGTTGGAAAAAAAAACTGTGATCCACATGTATTATTATTTTTGACTTTTAAAAGCATAAATTGTATAATATTGCACAAAATAGTCATACTAATTGTTTTTAAATTGCGATAAAGCAAAAGATCTCAAACAAATTGCAAAAGATATTAAATACCATTCAGCAATAAGTAGACATTTGCCGATTAAAATCTGTTGTAAATCCATAATCTCAATCCTATATTAGGTATCTAGAAACATTGGCCAAGTTATACATAACAGCACTAAATATGTAAACGCCTATATACATAGATATTAATTGCAATCATATTCTAATAAACTGCAATTTTCGACTGTGTTGCCATATTTCTAAATAAAATCCTCACAAAACTACCAAAGTGATCGAAACTGAAGGGTATATTATGGCAACATTTGACAATACTTTGTGCAAACGAAAAATATAACGCAAATACATCGAAATAAAAAGGGATTTAAAAATAAATCTTAAGAACGTGGATTGTAATACTACGAATTACTATGCAGTCTTAAAATAAAATATCACATAGCAAACCTTAATTTAAGCATAATAAGGATATGTTAGCACAAAGTATTGTATCCTTTTTGGGATTTTTAACCAACATTTAATTACATGCAAAACATTAAAACATAACACTTACAAGATTTGAAACTGGGATATCAAGTGTAATTCAAGATAATAAAAATATTGTCCAAATACTGTTATAACAATTTGTTTTTTTATAATTTTGCCAAGAATCCCGTATTTTATTTTATAATTAAAATCAAACTAAATCGTTATTTTTTCTACCAATTTAGAAATTTAATTTGAGCTTTAACTGGTAACTCTATAACATGGCGGCATTATCGCTTTTGACGGGCTTTCAAATAATAACGGACCAGCCGTTTGCTTCAAAATGATTTTTTTTTTTTAATTTTTTAAAAGAGTGGCTTTTAGATGTAATCTGGGGATGCTAATTTGCCAAAACTTAAACTTGGCAATGATGCAACTACGTAAGCACCTAGTCAATATATTCAGTACGAACAGCGATATACATAACGACTAATTTCATAACAATTGTAACATGATAACTCGATTAAAATATACAAATTTTCTTACGAACATGTGTAGGTATAAACTATCGCAAAGGATATTTATTCTATGATTTCTGTATTATTGAATGTCCGCAACAAAAATCTTCCTTTACAAAGTTTGTGAGTACAGATGGTAATTGCTATTGAAATCTCTGTTTAAAAATACCTTTAAAATACGTGGTTTCCTAGTATACAACTTTATATATTTTTCCTTTATACATAATAAGATACTAGTATATTTCGAAATACATTAACGGGTTTTAGCAACTACAAAATGTATTACTAGAGAATATAAATCTACATAAACGATTATTATTAGTTTTCCAACCCCGAAGCTAAACGTTGACATTTTAGATGGTATTAAAATAAAATTGCAAACCATAGATAAAGTGATTTTAATCTTTGACGTAACTGTCAAACGTCATTACCACTTTGACATATGTCATTTAGTTGTCACTTTGGAATTATGGCGGGAGAGACGTGTTTAAAGTAAACTAAAAAAGAAATACACTTTATACAAATATGGAATGTGATCGATAGATATTATTTTTGCGAATAAATATTTTCATAGTACCCACCATTTCATAACTAATTAAAACGTACAATTTGTCTACACTAAACCTGCATTAGCGTTCATAACATAATTATTACGAAAAAAAAATCCAAACTAAAGTTAATTTTGAAGAGACTTGACCATTAAGTAAGGTTAGCATAAACAGTAACTTATACATACAAAAAATATATTAATTACTGACTTATGTACAGTTGGCCAATCGTAGGCTCTAGTTTATCAACTAAAACTTTCAGATGCACCTGATAACAGCACACAATGCAAATGATGCCACCTGACCACATCTCAGCCTGAGCACGCATAAATCTGACTGTATAGAGCCATCCAAATTTTATAGCAGCTACAAAGTTGGCTGCGAACCACATTACGTACTAAAGTTCATCTGGACTTAATCCGGATTCAACCAGCGCTCGGCAATCGCAACAGAGCGAGACAAACATATGGCAGTACAGTACTTTTGTCTCGCTGTGAACCGACTGCCGACAGTTGTTCTTACTATCTCGGATTATGTCTAAATTAACCTTTAGATTGAGTCAAAAAGAATGCTTGGGTGTTGTAAATCTGTGGGTGCGATTCACTTCAATCGCAATGGGTCCAAGGTAAACCACGAAGTATATGTGCTCGCAACAAACTATGAGCCGACATAAAGTTTGAATCTTATAATACCTGATATTTTAACATTATTATTAAATCAGAATGCATTGATGTAGCTTATTTTAGTAGTCAGGTCGGATATTTGGCATTGAACATCATCGAGATCTTCATTGTAATTTACTCAAGATTTTTATTACTTGTTAAATTATGCGATTCGTAGTCTTAGGAAATAACTAGGTATTAAAAAAATCCCGTATGTATTAAGAACTCTGAAAAACTCTACATTTTATATGATTTAATATAATTTGTTTGAGTTTTTTTTATTATTATTAAGCAAATATAACTCAAGATCTACTTGAGCAAATTATATTTGATAATTTTTACATTAGATCTTTTTTCATGCGGAATTAATATTTAAAAAAAAATAATGATTTATATAAAAATGTATAATTTAAAACTAAAATATTTAACAAGCAAAAAACCATCTGAGGTAAACAATTACATCTGTTAATCTCATAAGATGTAACTCTTTATCGGGTCTAAATGAATCCCGATGAAGTTCTAAAGTTATGACAAACTCAATATAAAAGGTGTCGGGTTTAGCTGAACTGGTTGGTTTGCTGCGTGGGCATGGCTGGGCGCATGGGCGGTATTGCGCCCATCATGCCTGGGCCCATGCCCATTACCATGCCCGGTTGTTGCTGGAAGGGGAAACATCGTTTTGTATTTTCAATTTAAAATTAAATATATATAAATCTATAAGTCAAGGATATCTGACCCGGTAGGCAAGTCAGACTAAATTAAGATAGCTCACTAGCGCCCTACTGTTAATGTCAAAAAAGTTTCACAAACTCTTTCGTGTTGTAGCTATTGTCTTTTTATCTTTTAAGCCATTTTCTTTGACTACGAAGGTTTTATACCTAACAGAATTCACCGCGATAGCACCGTCTCTCTCATCGGGTCAGATATCCTTGTTTGACTGTCTGTCTCTGTCTTTTTAAAAGAGACTGTAAGGGATAAGAATATGTGTCAATAAAACGACACAGAATATAAAATTTTATTTAATTTAAAGCTTTATTTTTGTTTTAAATGTGAATTTTTTTAGTCGTTTAGAATCTTAGCTGGTTAATTAATTGTTAATAGAATTTTGCTTGTAATAGACATGGACAAAATAAAAACTAAACGTTTCGAACCATATTACGAAAGGATTTATTAAAATTTGTGTGTTAATTTTCAATAACAAGATGTATCGCAAGAAAAAATTCTTTTGAAGTACAGTTTAAAACCATTGCAAAATAAATAATATTAAAAATGTACTTTCAATGGATTTTTTTGCAAACCATACCTAACTGTGAATGAACATGATTAATAAATAGATTGCATGGCATCACACATACAAATTACTAACCATGCAAAGTAATACACACTCGTGCATACATTATTTTTTTAAATACATTACCTTTTAATCTGCTACATTAATATGAAGATTATTATCATTACATAGGATTACAGGCACTTTATAAAGTCTAACAGTTGAAGAGGAAAAAATTAAAAAAAAAATTAGAAAACTAAAGAGGTTTTAAGGTAAGTAATAAGCATAAAAATAAAAGAATCAACATAAATCAGCAACTTACCATAACATAATGCGGGGGATGGTATGTATGGGGCAGTGTGTGTGACATTGGTGGCAATGCCATGCCAGGGCCCTGGAAAACGCAAAATAAAAGGGATGCTGGCATGCTACGGGAGAGATAGCAAAAGATAAAAAAGGATAACTAGCTTTAATGTCAAAGTAGTTAAGTCGTTTATAGCTAGCAAATTATTATGCAACAATAAAAGCGAAAAGGGATAGATAATGTCGAACGAGGAGTCAATGTAAACATTTATAAGTATTAAAACTCACTATTCTTTAAATTAGACGAAATTAAAAACAAATAAACAACTCTAACCATGGGTTTCTGAAACTAAAATCCCCGTTTAAAACATATTGTTATCTCTGTTTTGTCAAATATGAAAAACAGGGACAACGATATATTTTATACAGATATTTTGATTTCAGGAACTCACGGTAAGTACTTAAGTTAAATCGTTAAGAATAAACAGTTATAAATATTTTCCAAGAGTCAAGTCTGTTATCAATCTTAGAGACATCATCATCATACGTTCTATCACATAGGTATCCTATCATATTGCAATGTTGTGATTGTGATAGTGTGGTACTCACCATTGGCCTGTAACCAGCGCCGGTGGTGGCTTGCATCGGCTGCGGGCTCCAGCCCGGCTTGGAGGCGTTCTTCGGCGATGACCACTGCATCGGCCTACCATGCCGGGGGGCAATGAATGTGCGTGCGTGGGGGGTAGCAATCAATACATTGTTTGTAAGGGGCGTCTCGGTTTTTATTTGCCTTGATGCAGATGACGTTTAGACTAAACCTTGGTTAAGGAGGGCAGCAGAGGGCTTTGGCTGCTACTTAGGGGGTTTAGGTTCAGACTGTTACCCTTGAGAGGCGTATTTAGGGGGCTTAAGCTCGCCTTTAGGGGGCTTAAGATATCTCTTAGCTGGCAACTTAGGAAGTGACATATTAATATTGAGATTCTAGGGTTGTCACACAATGGTTAACTAAGAGTAAAATTTTAATTGTCAAGATATTTAGTTGAAACAGATTTTGAAGACCCCATTCTTACAAACAATGCAAGGATGTAGACTAAATGAAAGCATCTTCATAGACTATGCGTAAATACTGGCTTTTGTTAACTTTACCGTGCGTATATCTTAATTAAATACTATAAAAAGCTTTGTTTCTTTTTTTGGGTTCCGTACCTCATAGGAAAAAAAACGGAACCCTTATCACTTTATTTATGTTGATGCTTTCATTAAAAAGTTATGAATACATTAAAAGGTTCCCCGCATACATTTTATATGAATTAAATATCACAAAAAGATTTTTATACAATAAAAAAATCTATGGTAGTTTCTTAGACAATTATAAATGTATGTAAAATACCTTTGCTAGTATTCATAACTTGAAAAAATAATTAAATACAGTTCCTTTCCTCAATTTTTAATAAAAATTAACTATTTTTTTGAATGTGAAAAGTCTCTGTATTTATCTATTATATATAACAAAAATCACACTTTTTAATCAATATATTACTAGCTAGATGATTGTACATTCGCTTCACTCGACAATTTATTTAAAAAATCAGACGAAAACAATCTTAAAACTGATTTAAATTTGAATAAAAAATCTATTCTACAATTGAACAGTTGGCATTATCAAAAATTAAATACATTGCAATGCTGAAATTATGACTGTACTAGCGGTCGCCCGCGACTTTGTCCGCGCGGAATTTAAAAAAAACAAAATAAGTAGATTATGTGTTCTTCCAGACTGTATTCTAAAAGCCTAATTTCATCGAGATCCATGCAGTTGTTTTGGATATACCGTTAAACGACTATCCATCCATCCATCTAAACTTTCGCATTTATAATATTAGTAAAATTTTATTAAATTATTGTGGAATTAATTCATTCATATTAAAAATAATGATTTTTTTTTTTTAATTTCAGGAAATATTTTTTTCCATACATACGTACCCTTATATCAATACTTGCAAAGTCCAATTATACACTTTCATACATTTTTTTTATATAAAATAGCAGATTTTTGTGTAAATTTACTAATATCTCTTTAACAATTCCAAATAAGCTCTAAGCTTGTGCTAGGATATGGTTTACGACTATAGTCGAATGGCGAGATTTGAACCCCCGACCTCGTGATCGGTAATCCGTACCCTTAACCATTAGGCTATTGACGTTTAAATGTCTAGTTAATGTGTCAAATAAATAATCTAATTTCTATAGCTTCCAATGAATTTAGTAGCAGATCATAATTTCACCAAGACCTTCAAAATTGAACCTTACACGTAGCGTACATAAAACACAAATTACTACTCACTTTTGGGCTGTTGCTGTTTTATTGATGGTGAGATTGTTGGCGAGCTGTGCGAGTGACGAGTCCAGATCGCCTGTCAGCACTTTACCCGGCTGCTGTTGTTGCCCTGCGGATAACAAACTTATTGCTATAAACATAACGTGCTATTTGTTACACTTTCACACTGACTGCATGCAATGAGTGCAAACTTGTTGATGACGTAGCTAAAAAATTAATTTAAATACATAGATAAGGTTCTATATTTAAGGTAAAATTACTATTAAACATATTATATTAATACTGTTTTTAAATAATCAAGTCTTATCTATGCATTCACATCATGATGAGAAAATTATATAAAAAAATGTGGTTGTCAATGTGAATCACATTAGAACGATATAGCTATTAAAAATACCGAACAATGACGTATAAAAAATAAATCTGAAATAAAAAAAAAACCTGAACAAACAAAATGTTTATTACTATCCATCAACAACTAAAAAACCAAGCGTTACTAGGCTATATACAAGTTACTGCAGAGATGTGCTAGAAAAAAAACAACTAAAACCTTAAAAAAAAGTAATCAAAGACAAATGAACACGTTGAATGCCGTCTGGCGAGTGCATTGATAAGTTAAAGAAGCACATCGAGACTGCAAGCATTATCGAACCCATAGCCATCGGCATCATGGGCTGTCGTGCCGGAGAGCCGAACATCATGGGCTGCGGCATGGGCACCGGCATGTCGAAGGGCTGCGCCAGCGGCTGCTGGGTGATGGGCTGGCCCTGGGCCTGGGCCTGAGCCTGGCGCGCCGGGGACCCGCCCAGCGACATTCTCATCACGTCCTCCAGGTCGTCGAAGGCGGACTTTGGCTGTGGGAGGTTCGGGGGAGGGGGCCTCGCGGGTGAGGCGGTCATCGGCTGAGTCGGATCTCCCATACCCATGAATGGGTTCGCAGCTTGCGGAATTAATTTACATTAAGTATATAACTACAGTATTACAATTAACCATCACCAACTATTATTGTTAATTACTAGCAGATCATTTAAAGAAGAAAGTTAAACAGGGTTGCCACTCGCTGTCTAAATAAAAACTGATAAAAAAATATTGCTAAGTTAATAATTTTACAATAAGACAAATTCGTAATTTAAGATATGTCTTACAAGTTTGAATTGATTTTAACAAATTATTTATTTTATTGCGTGTGTGGCAACCCTGTTGTTTGTGCATTCCTTACCTGCGGAATCTGTGGTGTTATTGAATACGTTAGAGAAGTTAGCTTCCGACACAAATGTGTTGTTGGTCTGCGGCTGAGAGGTGGGGGGCCCTGGCGGGAACGAGGCGAATCCGTTGGAGCCCCACAGGGCGGGGGCGGGGCCCTGCGCGCCGGGGGCGGGGCCCTGCGTGCCGGGGGCGGGGCCCTGCGCGGACGTGGGCGCGGGCACGGGCGCGGCCGGCGCTACAAGCGTCCCAAATGCACTTTCTTATCGTGTTAACGAATTACTTTAATAAGTTTGTAAAAAAAGTTCCAAAATACCAATGCTTTTTTTATGAATTTGCAAAGAAAGAGAACTTGTTTTGTGTTACTCTCCTCATAAATCGAACTATCAAATATATAATGTAATTAACAGAATAAATACATTTCATACGAGAGATTGAAAAGTAAAAAAGGCGATTTCATTTATTAGACTTTAATCAGAGAAATAAATTAAAATGCGGTGGGTCTTTATTGTGTATTGTGATGTGTAATAGTGAGTTTTCACTGACGAAACATTAATTTTTTCAGAGAACAAGAGAGACGACACTATACTTTGTTTCATGTTTAGTCAGTGTAAACCCAGGGTAAGTGCTCACCATCCCAAAAGCGCGGGATGTGCCGTTTGTACAGTGCGTGTTCTAGCTAAGCTAATATATACTGCGTTATATACTCCTGTTAGACTACGGTCCCTCCGTTATATATTTACTATTTTACAATTATATAACATTGGTTAATCTAAGTATTTATATATTTTAGTAAATTAAAAGATATCTGCGATACCTTTATTGTATATAATCTTTTATTAATTTTACTATCAATAATTATAAGTTACTAAACAAGAAAATAATTCCAAAATTTTGGTATATCATCGCAACGAACTTAAAAATTAAACAATTTCATTCATATTATGTACAGATATTCAAGAAAAAACAATTAAATACACACTTGAAGTTATATTTTCTTAATAGTTACTGGTCATGATTTATCAGTACTGATCATGACCAGGTAGTAAAATGACTCAGCAGTAAACTGATCATGATTTAAGAGAAAACTTATTATAAAATAAAGAAAAAATGACTTACCACCAAACATATCAGCGAATGGATTGCCGAGAGACAAGAGATCATCTGACGCTTTACTGTTGGTACTGACAGTATCCGCCGGACTCGGTCCGAACAGATCCACTATGGATTGATTTTGATTCTGGTTTTGGTTCTGCGGTGTCGAAGTCGACAGGAATGGATTGTTCGCAGCGGAGTTGGTTGGCGATTGGACCTTATTCTGAAAGTGTTTAGGTTGATTTTAGATTGTGTTTGGTTCAGGCGACTCCCAAACACCTTAAATATGATTTTAACAAAACAATCCATATGAAGATCCAGTATCCTTTTTGATGTATGGAAATGAAAATGGTATCCCAGAGTACACTTTTTTTTACACAAATTAGGTAATATTATTTTTTTATGTGATTTCGAATAAACTTCCCGATGCCTTTTATGACAAATGGAGAAAAAAGGAAAGATATGCGATTTAAATTTTACTAATATTATAAATGCGAATGCTTAGATGGATGGATGGATGTTTAAAGGTATCTCCAGAACGGCTGAACGGATCTCTATGAAATTTGGCATACATATAGAACATTATCTGGAAGAACACACAGTCTACTAATTAAGTTTTTTTTTTAATCCGCGCAGAACGAGTCGCAGGTAACAGCTAGTATAGATATATGTTTGAAATCCGACTCTAACCGGTAAATTTAACCTTATTTATTTTGATTGTAATTTAAATAAACAAAAAAGTGCATATGAAAAGAAAAATTATACCAAAAATGAACACGAATACCCAATAACATATAAAGCGTATAAACAAACATAACAACATCCTTTTTGTATATAAATGTAGTCCCATTTTCAAGCATTCCCGTGACACCGAATTTCCACTACTAAAATTTGTAACAAAACATATAATTGTCTTTGTCTTTCCAAAGAACATCAGTATCACAATATCGCTATCCCTCTCATTAAGTTTGAACAGAAAGAGATAGCAACATTGGTCAAGTTTTACGTAATTTGAAAACAAAGTTGTGAGTTTACAATATGTTTTTATACAAATAGTGTAGAGTGGAAACGCATGTATTGTACAAACAGACAAACGGAGCCTTCAATTGTATATCTTACTATTATAACTGACAAGTCCTCGTCACCTGTCAACTCATCGCCTTGCAATAAATGCACCTGCAAAATGTTCACACTAAACAATAAAATAATTTTAAAGCCAATTACATTTATTTCCATATTATGTGGAACATGGCTAACTCTAGTAACATTTATGATTTGCAGATCAGTTTACGACTCATCTGTGCGAATCAGATCAGTGTAGCGGGTCACAGATCAGCTCAATTGGAATATTATATAGATATGATTTGCGAGTCATCAGGCAATTTGCGGCTCGTCAGCTCAAATAGGTGCATCGATGAGTTGTGAGCTCTCAATTTGTTTGTTGAACCGCAGATCAAGTCAGGTTAAAAATTATTTCAGTGCTTTCACAATCATACTGACAATATTTTCGGTGTATGTGATATTAACCCTTGTTGTCATTTACTTAAAATATAATTTTGTCTGACTTTGGAAATGTTAAAACTGATGGTAATTGCTAGGTAGAAGCGACTGTAATCTTATCCTAAGTACCTTGTACTGTGTCATGGCTGCCTCCTCCTCAGCGAGGGCCTGCTGCCGCAGCGAGTCATCGATCAGCAAGCCTCCGTTGCTGTCGATACGTGATGATGCCGCCGCGTTGCCGAATGATGAAGATGTTGAAGAAAGTGCACCCATCACGCTCGCTACGTTCTTTTGAGCGCTGAAAATTTAGTATTATATAATATACGTACGTATACGTATCTGCGTACGTACGAGTACGTTGTTTAAATATAAACATGCTAAAAATGATAATAATGTGTACCTGGCAGTCTGAGTGGGAGTGTTGGCTGCGGATCCCTTCTTGCCCTCGAGCGAGGCGAGGTGACCCTCCAGCGCGTCCAGCAAGCTGCTGGGAGCCTTCGTCAGGTCCGGGATGTCGCCCTTGTCTATACCCACGTTCTCTGCCACCTGAACATAATATTATTATAAGTATAAAGCACTAACTGTCGCCCGCGGCTCCGTCCGCGGGTGTATATAAAAAAAACTAATTAGTAGGCCATGTGTTCTTCCAGACTATGTTCAACATCTATGCAAGATCCAAGCAGACGTTCTTGAGATATCTCCAAACAAATATCTATGCAAATATTCGCATTTTAATGGTAGTAAGATTTTGTCTAGACCGAGAAAGACGGAAATAACAATTTTTGTCTACAGACTTTGAGATATATAATACCAAAATCTCTCTCTCTCTCTCTCTTTGTCTCTCTTTTTGGCACTCACCTTAAGGAATTCACCGACTCTATCCATCCTGATGAGGAACTTCTTGTACAAGTCGAGCGCGTCGCGGCAATTCTTCTTGTTCATATCGAAATATTTCTCCAGGAGATTGATGATGCCATCATTGTAACATGCGAATAATCTGAAATTAAATAGACAATTTTAAATCCTTTTCTACTGTTTTCTACTGCTCAGTAGTCGTTAGGTACTAAACATAACTTTATAACAGCCTCAAAGACCAGTTTAAAGTTACCTGATGAGATCCCTGAAGAGTAGCATGAAGCACATATTAATGACGCCATTGGTGAGGTCGTTGGCTGTACAGTCAAACTCGAGCAGCGCGTCAAGCTGCGCCTGCAGCACCGGCAGAGTCTTCAGCAGCTTCTCCGCGTTCATCATACGCAGGGAACCCTCCTCCTTACTGTGGAAACCAAGTAAGTAACCGTCACACGACTTACACGTAGCGATAGCAAGTAAAACATAAAAATAATCTTTTTTTTATCTTGAAGTTTCTCGGTGTGATCAAAATTCATTGCTTCTTTCAAAACAACAAAAATTTTACTATCTCGATTTCTATAAATGGAGAGGTAATTGCTTTGAAATGTTAGCTTTTACTTCGTTCCGATTTAAACGCGTCTGTTGATATTGACAGTTCATACTACAAGCCGCCTACCATCAGCGTCAATGGCGAAAATCAAATAGGCACAGAGTACGACGTCTTACAGCCAGTCGATTAATAGAGCTCAGTGTGTATACATCATGATCAGTTGTTTTAAATTACCTTATTAACGTATCACGTATCAAATACTTACCCTCTCTTAACTTTGCAGAAGTCAAAGGCAACAGTTCGGTAAGACAACGCCTTCTCGTTCAGGTACTTGGCGTAGCGCCGGATGAACGGAGACATGTCATAGCCTGTACACAATAACCAACCATAATACATAGAAGATAAAACTCAAATTACAATACCTAATAATTAATTGAAATCGTGCTATATGGAGTGAAATGACTACAACATTCAGAGTCGCGTAATGCTATTGAAACAAACTCCTAATGTAGATTTCTCTCACTAAGGGTCACCTTAGTAATAAATTAAGAACCCTGAGTGCTGCAGTTAGAAGAGACAACAATATAGTGTACTGTGCATGTTAAACAAGCAAATGTACCTGTTTTTGTATTTATCAAACCTGTTGATGACCTTATGAATTTGGTAGATAACATACAAAGCGTTGGACAAACTGACAAACAATGCAAAAGGCATTATCAAGGTGAATTCAATTTAAATAAAGCTAAAAGCAGAGATTGAAAAAAAAAAATTTTTTTTAGATTTTTCAACGACAGATTTTTTGTGCACGTACTGTGTAAAATAAATAAAAGAGACAGATTAAAAAAATGTACATTTTTGTACAAATTTAAATAAAAGTTAAATGTTTTTTTTTTCTATAACGACAACTGCCAATATAACGTTTGTAAGTATTTTTTGTCATTCAAAGAAATTAAAAAAAAAAGCATTGAAAAAACTATGCTAACAAAACTAAGATGACAAAAAACGTGCGATGATCTCGAACTATAAAACTATAAAAGTCAAACATTGTTGTGCAAAACTATCTACGGGATGCAGTGTAGGGTTGCCATCATTGCAAAAAGAAAAAAAAAACTTAAAAGATTACTACAAACACGTAGCTATTAAAAACTAAGCGTGAAGCAATACAATATAAAAAAATCAAATATCTTGGAAACCACTTACCGCCTTATCGGACGGAATTTAGGTAAAGCATTTGAACAAGAAAAAAATTAAGATAAGTACATACATAATAAATATAGGGTTTTTAATTTCAGTCTTGAACATAATCAAATATCAGTTGTTATATAATACTTAAAGTTAGAAAAATCCTAAGCAAGATATAAAAAAAATGTATTGTTACACACATGAAAAAAGCAAAAATTTCTTAACAATAATTTTTTTTTGTGTAAAAATTGCACGAAATGAGAAATTGACAAAAAGTACTAAGTAAATGATAAAATATGCGATATTAATTCCACATTATAACTTTTTATGGAAATATAGGATGTTATTAGATTCGAGATGGCAACCCTATCTAGTTTAGATTTTTAATCTACATTTGCAGAGCACACGATTCGAATATCAACGAAATTCGAGTATTTGTATTAAGTTACATTTATGCAAAAAAAAAATGAAATGAACCACTAATTGTGTACTCGATTTGAGATTTCTTAATGCTGCAAAAATTCACTATAATAAATATTATTAGGTAGGTACAGTCAAAGAATTAAATTCCCTTCCCACTTAGGTTCGAATATCAAACAGAAAATTGACACTATAATACGTATGACGCGAGGTGCTACTATCTCAATTATTTCTGTCAGAAAATGTGTACAACGTTCATGGCCACAGACGATGTTATAAAAGTAATAACATGACAGCTATAGTATGAAAAGGACACCGTGAAACTTTTTGTCATTGACACAAGGGCGTTAGTGACCTATCATACTTTAGTTTGACGTATGCAAACCGGGTCAGATATTCTTATCGGTCTATATATTCAGATATTCACCGAAGGGTAGGAAATATATTTCCTCGACTGCACAAAATAATGCGAATATAACAGCTCTATCATTGTCTATTGCAAGTATTTCGTAATCCCAAATTCCGAGTACACACAACTAAAATGACAAACAAATAAAATGAAACAAAAACCTCAATAAATCTAACCAGTTTCATCCGTTTCAGATTTTCTGTTCATACTGTATCCGAGAATTGACACAGCTATCTCACATATGCCTAGAACGTTACGTAATCAAGGATAAACTAAAGCAAAACCAAAACAGAAAATTATCTATGATTCGAAATACAATTAATATTGGTAAGAGAGTTGTACGTAATATAAAGTCTTCTAGTTGTCTATGGCATTGTCATTCTTGTTGCCTCAAAACGTACATGAAATCCCTAACGAAATCATTCCAAATAAAACCATCAAATCTGTTAACTTTTCGTTACAAATTATCAATCCTTTGTATTAATTATCGTGTATTTTATTGTAAAAAGTGTCAGTCATATAATTTTTTAATGACTTACATATTATTTGGATACGAATTACTACTATATTTTTTAATCTAAATCAACAAATAAGTGTAAAATTTTCTTGCCTTCTTATAATAATATTCTAAATATCTAGAACTATAGCATAAATCTCGTATCTCACAAGTACTGTATTCATTGCCAATAAAATCAATACGATGCGGGCTCTGTTAAATGATCATTAAGGTGACCTCTCTCGGCCACGATCGTATTAATTGACCATTGACAATACCCTTTCTTTTTTCTAAAAAGCAAATGCCTTATAATTTTCGGCCAGTATTTGACACACAAAAACAAAGCTAACCTTTTTTTTGTAAGCTGTGAAAAAACATGAACAAAAAAATTGCACCCACATCCATAAGCGTGCTGGTAACACTACACCGACAGACAGACAGACAGACAGACAAGCGTGGTATTGTATAACTCACCGATCCTCGCACCGGCCGCGCCTTGCCGAAAGCGATAGAAATTAGAAATAATTAATTACACATTGGAAATTTTACAAGTGATTTGTGATAAATCAGCACAAGTTTTTATGAAATAAATGATTAACATCTGAAATATAATTAAAATATTTTCAATACAAGAACAAACTTCTTATTGTGGCAAAAAGATGCAGGAGTTCATATTTTATTGCCAAATAAATTTAAAAAAAAATGTGTTAGTTTTTATATATTTAAAGCCGGCCCGATATAATATCGCTACCCTTATCCCGCTTACGTAGGGTAGATGCAACAGTTTTATGCCCTACAATAATCTTCCGTTTACACTCCCTTCTAAACATATCGACTTTCACAAAATCCATCTCTTCTTAGGCATACTTTTACCGGTATAACCCTCGATATGCATACTTAGAGACCGAACTTATAATATTAATCAATCAAAAATCATCATCAGCTCACTATACGTCCCCACCGAGAAGCTCGGAGCCTAACCTAAGTTAAGGGTGATTAGGCCATAGTCAACCACGCTGGCCAAGTGAGGGTTGGTTGACTTCACACAATCTTTGAATTTCTTCTCAAATTTGTGCAGGTTGCATCACGATGTTTTCCTTCACCGTAAGAACGTCGTATAAATGTACATATGTTAATCGGAAATCGAAAAACATATTGGTACATGGCGGGATTCGAACCCAAGACCTGCACATTGCAAGTCAAGTGCTTGACCCCTGAGCTACCGACGCTCTTAATTAATATTAATATTAGTAAATATAGTTTGAGCTCGCATTAACGACCTTTTGTAAATCAGACAGAGATGAAGGATATTCTATTGCATAAAATCAATTGACCCTACAAAGTCAAATTTGTAAGCGAGACGGTGACTGGCGGACAAGCCTTGTTGTAAAGTTACATTGAGTAATACGGTTATTGCCACACGATATCACGTAAGTAAATCGAGTAATAAAAAGAATCAATAAATTCATTAGTAATTGTTTATTTTATAGTGACATCAACGTTCATTGGACTTATTTTATCGTGAAGAAACAATGTGACATATCAAATCCATTGGTCTAATGTCACTTTCACTAGCCTGGTGTGTTGCTCCGGTGGCGGTGACGTCACTGGTTGCTATTTTTATCGTATGTAACGTGGATATTTTCATGTTTGTGTGAATTATTCGTATAAGAATGATAAGCGGAACACCTGATTGGCCGAGATCAATCAAAAATGTTGATGGTTTCAATTTTATTTTTTTTAATTTAAACAGAATTTAGACAAGACATATATAGTCTAAATAACCTAGAGCAAGCAAATCGTTTACGTTTAATCGGATCATATGAAACAAGTGCAGGAAGGGGACATTTCTAGCTGGTCTCGCGCACGGGTGCCAGGGGTCTACGGCCCGCAACTGACCCATAATAGGTTCCGTGACCTTATAGAGGACTCGATAGCTAATGATATTGTTTGTCGCTCAGTCCGTATGCACTAGAGGTAATTGATTACATTGTAAGGTGTTTTATTATCACTCATGATAGCTTAGTTCACTGACATAACTCACGAGCATTTTGTTATATGTCTCAAGTGTGAATGAAAATATAAATAACTATAGAACATAAAATAAACCTATTTGCCTTTTTAATTGTGTCGTGATTTAACACTCAAAAATCTTTTTTTAAATTACTTAAATCAAATAAATTTAATAAAAATAACTTTTTAATTAATCTTACTGATATTATAAATGCGAATGTTTGAATGGATGGATGTTTGTTTGAAGGTATCACCAGAACGGCTGAGTGGAAGTCGTTGAAATTTGGCATAGATGAAGAACATAGTCTGGAAGAATACATAGGCTTTTACCTCTCTTTTTCATTCCACGCGGACGGAGTCGCGAGCGACAGCTAGTTAGTACTTAACTTGTTTGTATTATTTTACTTTTACGTCATTTACCACATATTATTATGGTTAAGTATTTATATACAGATTATGATTACTAACACCATTATAAAGAAAACAATCGCATCTTCTGTCTCTCTCTACGTTATGCATTGCAGTCAGCTGTTCACAAAGGTCATCGTCCTCGGGTCATTGGGGTACGAGCTGACACGGTTCCATTGCGTAAAATTTTGGCTCTCGCGTTATGTGACGCAAACTTATTCATCTCATTTTACCTAATATATCATAATTAGGAGTTTTATTGTAAACTGGCGTTATTAAAATTAAGTTATAGATTCTTTTTCGATAGTTAGTTAAGTTATTTGCCATTTTGATCCTCTGGAGCCGGATCTTGACACAATAAGGTAACAATGTAAATAACAATTTCCTTTATAGTAGAAATTAATAGGAGACCCATGATTCCGTGTGATTGTGGGGGGATTATTAATCACTGCTAGTTACATATTTGCTAAAATTTATTTTAGGCGTCTTCACGGATTTATAACTATTAAAGTCAGTAAGGGCCTTGCGTTACATGGCTAAAAGAAATAAACATTAGTGTCAAGGTCAGACTTCGTTATTTTGTGAGATTTGTACAAATAATTTTGCTTTAAAAATAGAGGCAATTGACGCGAACATTACATTTATATAATGTGTTGGCAGTGTCAAAACCAAGGACTATGTAATCTATGATGTAATCAGCTGTTTGTAGGCGAGATAGGTCGATGAACTCCGCTTTAACAGGATGTCCCCAGTGTTGCCTATATGTATAATATTCATAAATCATCACGCTCGTAAAATGACTAAGCAGAGTCATATCGAATTTTTCAGGGTTTTCGAAACACTCTTTGTACTTTATGGCTACAGTAAACCTTCTCAAAGATATCTACTACATTATGCTTGTGATAAAGATAAGTAGTAAACTTATCTTTACCAATACTGCCTCTTAGATGTATTGATTCAAACTAGATGAATAAAGTGTCTAGTTGTGGCCGGGTTTTAAGATGTAGGGACGTTATCCCACCCCAGTTGTACGGCGGATATGCGTAGACATTTGATAATATTAAAATGCTCGTGCGCCAAGCGACGCCGGGCCGACGCGTCTTGTTTATTACATTTTGCAGACAGACTGTCTATTGAAGTTAAATTATGACACCCCTCTGGATCTATATTGCCAAAAACTTTCATTTTATTAAGATTAAAAATAAAAAAGGGAAGTTATGACGTATTTAATTTAATGTCTTTAATATTGAACTTTTTTTAATTTCATTTAAATTAAAAACCTATATTTTAGTATCAGAAATCTTATATAAATTGTTATACGATAAGCCTAATAAGCCTGGTTGTTATATCCCCTACCATCAATTCTCACAGCCTTGTCGTCGAGGAAATTACGTTATTACTTATTTCTTTGTAACGTTAAAGCGTGGGTATTTTCAATTATTTTTCTATAGAAAAAGTTAAATGAGACAAACGCTTGCTTTATTCACTACTTATACACGGAACTAAGGATAAATTATGAATTAATCTTATTCCTGTGAGTATAGTAATATTCGAGTTTTTATTTAATTCTAGCTTATAGTAATGAATAAAAATTACAATTCATTTTGACTTACAAAATTAGAGGAATTAAAACATTTTAAATAACTCGATCACTTTGAACAATACGAACGAAACTCGACTAAATATACTGAAACCAATGGTAAGGGCTAAAATGTTATTCCAGTTTCATATCCTTAGAACATCCTCTAAAAGAGGAAGTTTCTGTCGGCAATTTGTTTAACAACATTATCTTTCACATATAAAGCTATTCCAAAGCTAATCACTAATATATCATTGCTATTAATTTCTCAATTTGCCAGCTTAAAAGGTAAATCATACTTAACTACTAGGTACTTAAGATTTAAAATTGAATAAATAAGTATATTAACTTCAAATACATACCTTGCACCCCGCTTTTATCTAAGAAATTACTTAGTTGAAACGTTGAATTACTCGACGCCAGATATTGTGTGAATCTCTGAAATAGAAATTAAACATTATTTAATATATTAACCAGCTTTGGTATTATTAGTTAACTATGTTCTACATGTATGACAAATTTCATCAAGATACGTTGAGCCTTACCGAAAGTACATTCTAACAAACATCCATTAATCCATCTAAACATTCGCAATTATAATATTAGTAAGAAATAAAATCAATGCTAATAATAGGTCTTCAACATTTAGTTCTGACATTTAAATGAGTTAAAAAAAAGTGAAGGACAACATGTATTAAAATCTGATTAATAGAAGAAGTTTGGTGGGCAGCGGGAACATCACCTAATGTTAGTCGATCTACGCACATTGACATCCGTATTACCAGAGGACCTGCAAACGCGATGCCAATCCTTTAAGACCTACTCTCTTTTCATGTCTGTAAGCTATAGAAGGTTACACAGTCTGTATTTTCTATATTTTGATGAGCAAATAAATTAAACAATTTTTGTTTTCTTACTACACGCTTACGTATAAAATTATAAAATTTTGAGCAGTATGCAATTTAGAAAAAAAAACCATATTCCATATTTGCGTTGCTTATAATGAAAATCCAATTTTTAAAAATTATTGGCTCGCTGCGAGCTATCTCGATTCTGACGGGAAGGGAAGGCCGATGCATATATGCATATTATAGGATTGTTTTTTTTGCCGACGAAGTCACGGGCGACCCCTAGTCGTAATATTAACCGGAAATAACATGTTTCAAGTATATGTAATTATCATTGCAAATTTTTATTCTTTTATGATATAAAATAATCAAGGCTAGATAAAAAATTGATACAGGTGCAAAATAACAAAAAATACATTCAACTTGAGAACCTTTTTAAAGTGGTCTAAATGAGCTGAATGTCAAATTTTCATCTGCAGACCTTTTTAGAAAAACATTGCATTCGTTTCTAGATCTTAAATTCCATTAAATTGTTCATTCGAGATTGAAATCAATGGTAAGGTTCCGATGTTACAATATCAAATGCCAGCAATAATCTTCTAAGTCATCACATAGCATTTACGTTTTTGTCTTCTTCTTGTATATATAATTTTAGAATAGTGTGATAGAGACAGAAAAGTATGCAAACTTGACCTCTGTGCGTCTCTCGCTTCGACCAATAAAATGCATTTGACCTTTTCCACGAACAAATCGTTTAAATGTGAAGTTATTTTAAAGAAGAAAAAACCTAATGTATGTTATCTTTAATTCTTATTGTTATCGTGGTTATAAAAAATGCCCGGAAAGAATATTGAAATTTACAATATATTCAAACTTCAAAATAAAATTAAAGGGTCAGCCATTAATCAGGCGATGCTTTTAGTAATATTATGACAGTGGGGGGCTTTGATACTCGCTAATAAGACTAACCCTTACTATACTTAAATTCACTTGTATTTTTAAATAATGCTTATAATTTGAAAATACTATGATTTTTTTTCAATCGGAAGGTAATTATACTACATCTAGTTTAAGCTTCCCTCCATCCTCGTGGTTCCTTTAACACGGAATGAGAGATACGAAAAAAATTTGTATACAGATATGTCGGCAATGAAAACCCACGTTTAGATTCTATAAACTTGATTAATACAAGTAACGATAACAAATGCAGATATCTGAGGGCAAAAAGGATACTGTTATTCCTTTCAGTAATGTAATTTAAATTAGGTCATATTAATCAGTCTGTCAGGCTTTTAAGTCTGCCTGTATTTAGGTTGTGTTAAACGTGAGCGTTACTTCGCGTCGTCAGCTTAGATAATTAAGTTACCAACTTGGTCAAGTTACTAAGAATACAGTTTTACAAAATAAAGTTTTCAAGAGAATAAAATTTTAGTTTCTATATAGTTTACATATTTTGCGTATATTTTATTAATTTATGGATATTTTTGTTATCGTTTTTCTTTACTTGTATTTGAAATTAATCTATAATTATTTACATACGATAAGATATAAACATATTAGTCATCCAAACCAAACGTTATTTTTTTTTCTGGAGTTATCATAGACTGAAGAATTTACCTACATCTTACTCATAAATGCGAATGAGAAGATGGATGGATGGATGTTTGTTAGAACGTATCTCCGGAACGGCTCAACGGATTTTGTTGAAATTTGTCAAAGATGTAGAACATAGTCTGGAAGAGCACATAGGCTACTATTATTCTTTAATTCCGCACAAACAGAGTTGCGGGCGACAGCTAGTTAATTATATCGGCAACTAAGACTGCAAAGTTAGTACAAAAAGTATATTTATTCCTGGAAGACTGATGTACCTACTTGATAAGGGAGGTTAACTCAAAGGTGCATCAATTCATCTCATGCAATAATAATTGTTACATAAAAAACCACCTTAACTCAAGGAAATAAAACATATTTTACATTAGCAAAGCTATAAGTGAGTTTCCAGCAAATTATGGCGAAGTTTTTCAAACAGCTCCATGTATTTGTTATTAGAAAAAAAATTGATGATGACAAATTAATTTACACCTTTTGATTAGTATAAATATAAGTAAAAATCTAACTCATACTGTTTTTTTTTAATACCACTAACGTGTAGGCAAAACACAACGGGCATTACAAAACAGGCTCCCAAATCTTCCTAACCCTATATCCAATCCAATAATATGCCAATGATTTGGCTTGGATTTTTAAGCAACAGCTTGGCTGGTGTTACCTAATAATTATTTTGTTACATACAAGCTGTGTCTTCGTCTGCGCGGAATTAAAAGAAAACTTAATAAGTAGCCTATGTGTTCTTTCAGACTATGTTCTACATCTGTGCAAAATTTTATCAAGATCCGTTGAGCCGTTCCGGAGTTACCTTCTGAGAAACATCCATCCATCTATCTAAACTTTCGAGTTTATAATATTAGTAAGATTAAAAAAGATCCATGTTTCTTAGTAATTTGTTTTTTAATATCATCATCATCATCATCAGCTCACTATACGTCCCCACCGAGGGGCTCGGAGCCTAACCTAAGTTAAGGGTGATTAGGACATAGTCAACCACGCTGGCCCAGTGCGGGTTGGTTGACTTCACACATATCTTTGAATTTCTTCCCAGATATGTGCAGGTTGCACCACGATGTTTTCCTTCACCGTAAGAACGTCGGATAAATGTACATATGTAAATCGGAAATCGAAAAACACATTGGTACATGGCAGGATTCGAACCCAGGACCTGCAGATTACAAGTCAAGTGCTTGACCACGAAGCCACCGACGCTCTCGTTTTTTAGCATAGAGCTTATTAAATATTAGAACAGATTTATAACTTTATATTTTCATTATATCCACGTGTCGCGTGCAACATGCGATAGTAATATTCAAAATCCAACTTTTAATCAACAATACGAAAACAAAGAACGCTGTAAAAATTATGTATTTATAAAACTCATTACATTTCTACGTGTTTATCGTAAACCTTACTAGTTGTACGGTAATTTACCGTAGCCAATGGGGAACTATGGAAATGGATTTTTTTATATAAGTTTGGTTTAAAATTTATAATGCTAATACAGAATTTTGCGTGGTTGTTAAACTACATTTTGTTGTAAAAAACCATCATCACCAACCTGCCCTTATCACTGCTGAGGATAGGCACAGTATATATAAAGTAGTCTCTATATATCTCTATCAGTCATTTCTGAATCTACTCCTATTCTACGCATATCCTCTTTCATACAATCCATCCATATATTCTTTGGTCTCTACCTTTGTCCTTCTACATTCAATCTCATTTATTTTGCTTATATCATCAGCATCCCTTCGCATAACATGTCCAAAAGACGTTTGTTGTTAAAAAATGCTGCCGAACAATTGTTTGCAACTTATAAACCTTTTTTTAGTATTAATATAACGCACGTAGAAAGACTTAGCGTGAAATTGCACTGCGGTAACACATAAAAAAACTGTTATCGCTATTTTCTCGAGAATGGAAAACATGTTATACTAGCTGCCGCCCGCGACTCCGTCCGTGATAAAAGAAAACTTTATTAGCCTAGGTGTACTTCCATACTTATAAAGCTGTTATACAAGCGTGCTAAATTTTATCAAAACCCCTTTAGCCTGTTTCTGAGACAACTTCAAACAAACATCCATCCATTTAAATAAATTTTTGCACAGTGGAAACGGACAGTAACATATTGTATGCGTTATTGAATATTAATTGAACAGAGTCCGATGGTAGGTATATATATGACACGCGACATCGCCTGGCGCCGTATGCGTCAGAGTATATCACTTGTGTCAATAAAATGTGTGTTTTAGCATACTAGAATTAAATTAGGAATTTTTAAACAATAAAAAAGACTTCAGTCAATGATAAAATGATAATAAAATTAAGAGACAAAAATAATTTAGGAGAAGAGAGGTGTGTCAGAACCGTCTAAAAATAAAGTCCATAGTCTCTGCCTTCCCCTCTGGATTACAGGCGTCAGTTATGATGTTGTCGTAAAGAAAAAAAATTGTTATGTTCGTTTTAAAGACAAAATTTTTATAAAGATGATTCAAACTAGCCCAAATTTGATGAGGTGTTGTTTCATTACTAAGTATCCATGTCCACCTTCCAGCTACATCATCATATCAGCATAATTTCATCATAATATTATATTTTCATCGATTTACAAATATACGCAAAATTTTAACTCAAACATTAACCGGGAAGTTGATTTATTTTGTACGATTTGATTACAAACATCGAGACATTTGAAATAAAATCTTGTAAAAATGCAATGGACATCGAAAATTATCTTTTTTTAAAGAATTGACGATCGAATAAATGCAAAAAAATTAGATAACATGTTATCGAGCAGATAAATAGGTTTGTAACGTGCAAATTTATAACTTATACTACAGCATTAAAGTTCAAAATGGAGCACAACTTAAGAGAACAGTCAATATTAAGCCGACCGCGACCTACATCAACTTTGCCCGTGGTATGGAAAACTTGTTCAAGTAATGCATTTCTTTTTTAATAGAAACCGTCTACATTATGTACTATACGAAGATTCACTGCTGACATATTTAAAAAGATATTTGAAGATGAGAAAATTTTCTAAAAAAAAACAGTCAATTTGGCATCGCCGACAAATTTCTTATAGTGGGTCTCTGACGCCATCTCTATCTTTCATCATTGACAAAACAGAGATAACAATATACATAAACGGAGATTCTGGACTCAGAAATCCACGGTTAGGGATGATAAAAACTCTTTTTTAAGTTGCAAATAATGTTCAAACTCTGTATTTGAATAAAAAAATAAAAAAACACGACTGCACACATTTTTAACGAAGTGCATACGTCAAAGCAAGTACTCCCTATGATAAGTAATTAAGCATAAAATAATCTTTATCGGCATAGTTACAAATTATTATCAAAACATTGGTCGATATAGGAACAAACGTTTTTTTTTTAAATATCCTTGACCAAATGGCGTCAGAGAAACTTAACACTGGGTGTGTGTTGGTTATTCGTGAATTACAAATTACTTGATTGTTCACTAAATTGTTAAATGTTTTGCCTAAAAACTCTGTTCTAAATCAAACTTGTGTGAGTGGTTGGTATTAAATTTTCCATCTATTTTTTTTAAATCTCATTACAATTTTCTGTGATAGTGCATTTGCTGATAAAAGCCGAAACACTCGAGTCACCTAATCATGATGTCACATTATTGCTGGTTAACTTTTTTATTTATAATTGCCAGTTACAACGAATCTATCTCGAATTACCTATGAACTATATCATTTTAATAGACGCTTCAACAAAAATCATACAAACAAAACTGTCACACGATTTTGTGTCACAGTCGACGCCGCGTCAGTGGAAAATCGCTTATGGACCTTCATAGAAATTGGCAAATGAAAAAGTATCGTGACTTCAAATAAATAATATATTTATAAAAACAGCTAAACTAGTATTATTTCGCGGACGCGGCCCGTCGCTCACTGACAACACTGACAAACTAGTCGGTGCCGCCACCGGACGAATGTACGGGAGTGTTTAGCCGTTTAAATAATATATCTTTGTATACAATATACTGTTAACATTGGTCATGGTAGGCAGGTTTATCTATGCACTTTGAAGACCCCGGGACTGTACAGTCACAATCGAGGATGGCCACCGAGGAAGGTCTCCGAGGTTTAGTGAGTTACCTGTTGAAGGTTTCTCCCAACACAAAAACATAGTTCTAATCCTGTGAGCACTTACCTCATTGCCATATGCTAGTAGATGATGCACAGTCAGCAAGGCTTTGTACACCACCACCCAGTTGGTGTTCTGAGTTCTCTCCACCAGTAGATTGGCCAGCTGCGGTATGGATACGTTGGGCTCGTTTGTGCAGTGGACGAGATCTGAAAGAGAGAGAAATAAAATGTGACGTCAAACATCGTCATTGGGTGATCACATTTATTTATGTTCTTAGTACTCTAGTAGAGAAGTGAATCTCATGAAACGGTTCTGTCTGATTTTGCGACACTCAGTCACGGAAAGGATATCCATCCTTGCAATCTATCGTTAACAAGAAAACAAGAAGCTTAATATATACTCTTAATATATTATATAAATTACAGATACACGGATACGCGTAGATTTAACATTTAAAATAATATTAATAACTAGTCTTTTCTATCGTCCCCATTTTTTTCTAAATCCAACACGACCTATAGTAAGTTTATTCATAAACTGCGTTTTCATAAATCACAGAAGTTTCAACTATGTTGCGTACTTAAAAGGTTAGAGGAGAATAAACAGAAAAGAGATATTTCTTTTCCTATGCAAATTCACTTCTCTTTCCCATACTTATTACAAAAGGGAAGGGAAAGGGGACTAGAATTGGACACGATACTCATCAGACGAATCCATAACTAGTAACCATATTAATTCACAGATCTATATCTCAGAGTACTAGATATGTCTTTAATAAGTCTATTATCGCATGTTAATAACATCAAATGCATCGGGTCAAGACCGAGCTTAATGGCACCGACCTCACTGGAAGCGGCCTTGGTGGGAGAGAGCCGAATTAACACGGACCTATTGAAACATGCTATGTTACGTATTTGATTCTAATGGTGTGGAAGTTGCAATGTTGCAAATATGTGTAACCGTTAGTTCACACTGTCGAAACATTCACATTATTTAAATAATAAGACTATCTTGTCAATGTATCAGAAATCTTATAGAAGACTAGTTGTCGACCGCGACTCCGTCGACACCGATTAAAGAAAAATAATTGGTAGCCTATGTGTTCTTCCAGACTGTTCTATATCCATGCCAAAATTCAGCGATACATGCAACCAGTTCTGGAGGTATCTTCTAATAAACATCCATCCATCCATTCGCATTTATAACATTAGTAAGTCTAATTCAGTGTGAGCAAATAGTGTAAATTCATTGGATCCTACATTATTAAGATTCAATCTCTAGGTAGAAAGTGTTTTGTGTGAAATTCAATTGAACATAGTCACTCTATGACAATTTATGCAAAGCATTTTTAAGAATTGCACGTGATTCATACAATCCAATATGTATCCAGAACTAACCTTACATCCAAGATTCTGTGACTTTATTTACCATGAAATTTAGTAGTTTTAAATTCAATAAGTTTTCAAGTTATTTTAATTTGGGGTAGATAGAGACACTCCGTTTGATTTTACCACATTATTTCCATGCGATGCCTCGTTGTCTAGGTGATGTGGGGTAAATAGTGCTCCCCCAATGTGGGATTTTACGCTGGCGTCAACTGTGGTTATTCCCTTTTTTTATTTGAGTTCTATGACGTCACACTTCTTAGTACTTTAGTCTTGTGATTTGAACGTTAAACTTCTTTACCTACATAGTCAATGTAACCATCTCCTTCCAAAATGTTTAGAAAAACCTTAGCAACTTTCAAGGTATATCCAGAACGGCTCAACGGAGCTTGATGAAATTTGGCATGGATGTAGAACATAGTCTGGAAGAACACATAGGTTACTAAATTTTTTTTTTATTCCGCGCTCGATAGCTCCTTATAGTTTTCCATACTTCTTATGCCTTGGTTACGTAAAATACCCATATTCGTGGAGTTGCAGAAACTATAGTCCCTACTCAAGTCCTCAATCTTTAATTGCCAACACATACCATGACCTCTATCAGCGTCAGGTCAATATCAATTACAACACTAATCGTATACTGAAATTGATAATTAAACAGGCGCACAATTTAGGCTGGAGCGGGCCATCTGGTCTCCGTTGTGCTGGCCGTGATTGCGTCGAACTGATAAATGGACGGACAGAACAGTTTCCTGCGATATCATATCAATACCACGGCAACTATGTTGCATTGTTGTTTTCCAAACTAAATAAAAACATACACGTCAACGCTTTTCACAGATGTTATGATATGGTTTAGTTACAAACTATGATTTTAAATACAAAGTTATTAAAGTGCTTTTATTTATGTATGTTGTGAATGATGAGAGCATTTTACGTCTTCGGAATCTATCCTTTTTATGGATGGTAGTAAGTATGGATTGTGTGAAAGGGGATATGCGTAAGAAAGCGGTAGATTCAGTTACGACGGCTGATAGAGATGCGTGGAGGAGTAGTACATACTGTGCAGACCTTCCGTAGGGAGAAGGGAATGTTAAACACAGCCATATAGCGAACAGTATGGACAGTTAATTGCAATTTATAAGACGATGTATTTGGTATCAGCTTATGTTCTACGTCTATTCGAATATATATACAGTTGCACAGACAGACATGTTATTTTTAGACTATTTCTATTTCAGTGCTGTCTGATGAGCAATTTCCAGGGAATCCTGATCTATATGGATGCATTAATTGCTCGTGATTGTCCTAACTATGTCTAGTTAACGCTTCACCCTTTATTGCTTGAATTAATTTGTCCATTTTAGATGCACTCCGTGGGATCAGTTTGATGCAATTTTCTAAAATAATTCGCGAGCTTTTATTATAAATTAGTTAGTATTAGTATTACTTAAGTTCACTTCGGTCGAGACAACTTAGGCATTTGAAAGTATTAAATTTTAGTATCTGGATGACCGAGCTTTGCTCGGTATTTTTTAAACTGTGTTTTTTGGAAATTATATTTAAGTACGAATTACTAATAAAATGAAATATGAATAATATTTTTCGATCTTACCGATAGAAAAAGTTAAGTTTATGTTTAAGTTGATTATCGATAAAACACGAATAAAATGACATTTTCTAAAAATGATTCCTAGCTAGATCGATATATCGCCCCCGAGACCCCCTATATACTAAATTTTATGAAAATCGTTGGAGCCGATTCCGAGATTCCAATTATATATATTGCTCATTTAAAGATATAAGATATTTCGTACACACAATATATTTGCGCTGCCTAACTTGATGGAGTATACGGGAGTAATTTAAGCCTTTTTTTAATCCACGCCGTCGAAGTCGCGGGCAGACAGGAAATCTGTTTCCTCGAAACATTATAAATGGCATTTTATGCCATCGGTTTTATAAATATGATGGTAAAATTAAAAAAGCGACATCAAAAAAGTAGGTTGAAATATTTTTCGTTATATTAATTACCATTTTTGAAACTTTATTAAAAAATTAGAAGGCTGAATAATGTTTCTTAAAACATTGTTTTCGAATCCTTGACCGAGGGTTACTAAAACTTTATATACTTAATTATTTACAATATCAGTACAAGGATAAAAAAAGCAAAAAAACCTCAAAAATTTTAAATTGAATCGATGAAATTATCGTTAAAATTGATCTCATCCAAAAACCTTTGGTGGACAAAAATCTGAACGAGATACTTTACATAAGAGCTTTTAAAAGTAGCCTATAATATTCCCGCGTCCAT